GCTCGTGCTTTACATCATTTCCTTCTTCGTAAAGGGGCATGAAGAACCTTTGTTAGATCATTCCTTTGTCTTGCTCTTATTCTAGTAATAATACATTCAAGGCCTCGTCCCAGCGAGACGCTCAACGACCAGCCCCTTACACCAAGATGCTCAATCCACAAATTATAGGCCGGGAAAACCGTAATTGCTCATGCTCTCGATGTTTATGGCGGGATTCAGGGTCTGTTTCATAGCCAGTTACCCATCAGGAGTACCTTCGAGAAGCCTCGCATAGAGGCTATGGTCATGGAAATCTCTACATCAATGCAATCTTGCTCAGACAAGCGAGCTTAGTTACCGCGAATTACCGAGATCTCCAGGGGTACGCGTGCTCCAAAGGCATGAGACAGAGAAAGTGGTTTCACTGGGGCTGGCGTACCAAGGCTGGAAGGAGGTTGGTCTGGAAGACTCAGGGGTTGTTTCTGAACTTGCAAAACTAGACAGCCCGTCAAGCGCTCTTTGTCCTGCGGCAAAGCTGGAAACATACTATTACTCCTATTTTCTGTCTACGCAAGTTAACTTACAATGCTCTAACAGGCTGTCGAACTGTTTGACGAAAGCTGCAACAGATCACATGGAGAACAAAAAACCTTGCAAAATAGCCACGTCACACAAGAGAGTCACACAAGCTGCAGAAAAAGAACATCTTGAAACACTAATAAGTATAATGGGCCTAATATAGGCGATCAGAACAATGAATCATCTTTCCTTCAGGTTTTCTATAGATGATACTTCATTTTCCTAATTCAAATTCCTCAGTCTCCCCCAGTCAAAGTCGAGATGGATGACACACGAAGTCGAGCGCCATAGTACAGTCCTTAATAGCAATCAGGATCTTCCTCGTTGTTGCGTCCCACGCTAGACTGGTCCGCTTGCAGATCTGAATATCAAGGGTCTGAAGGAATGGATGAGAGTCATACCTGTTTTTGAATGATCGACTGTAGGTTGTCTACGTAATCGAAAGCGTCTCGCGGCCTCCTGCAAGTAACCTACATATTTCGTCTCCGGGTCGAACTTGAGACTAACCTCGTATCGCCTCACATTGAATTTGTCGTACTCGGTCAAAATCCACACGATGGAAACACAAGTCGCACGCACACAAGGTTCTTTTGCGTACTCGAGCTCTTGGAAGACTCCTCGAAGCAAGCTCTTATACTCTATCCCGAGCTTGTGCTTCAAGTCGTTACGGATGGATGTTGAGACTACTGGAGGGCTGTCTTCAATACAAGTAGTATTGCAGCCTTCAAAGACCATGCCTGATGCTAGCTCGTTTGCCAGGGAACATCTTCAAGGATTTCCTCACACACAGCTGGTATTTTCCTGTGATGTGAGCAAGTTAAAGTATCTCGGTGTGTAGGGAAAGGGCGCAAAATATAGTCAGGAAGGTTTCGAAGTTTTCGAGATGTTGCTCCAAGTAGGTATCATAGTCAATTGATGATAGATCTCCGATGCGCCCTGGCCTTAGGGCTTTTTGGGGATAATCTTTTGGATAAGTCCAGGAGACTTCGTCGAGTTTGGGCTCTGCAACAGAGAATGGTATAGCTCTGCTGGTCGTGTAGCCCATGTGTGGTCGATATAGTCGTCACTAATCGTTGGAACGAGCCACATTCTCTGGAGCTGGGTATCTGCTCAGAACAAATTGAGGGACTTCGGATAAGTGCAAATTCGGTTAGTCCAGAAAATCGTGTAGAACGAAAGGCAGCGGAGTCGTCATTTGTGCCTGTTGAAAGATCAGTCAGCAAATGAGCGGCACAGTTAGAAAAGTTAAAAGGTTCGGTGGACAACGCTTCGCCATTCAAAAAACTACGGAATTGCACATACTGCGGAGTTTCAACATGTAATTGTTGCAAGCGCTGAGAGGTCGCATACTATGCGGCCAAAGTGAGGCTGTCACATCGTGACTCTGGCATTTCGCTCACCGAGAGCCGAACATGTTGTGTCAAGCCTACCGCCCGCCATGTCAATGCCCAACGGCTTGACAGCAGCGGATGAGCCTCCATGCGCTGTCAACCACGTTGGTGTGCCGTATAGCTCGGCCGCACAAATCGGACCCGAGTCACAGGGAGATGGAAGGTAGTCACTCAGCCTCGCTCACCGCTCCGTCCTTGACTCCTTCGATGGTGTCGAGTTGAAAGGCGGGAGACGCGCATCGTCGCAGTACGCCTTCTTTTTCAGAGCTTTGCGAAGGTCGATGAACTTCATAGCGTAGAACTTAGCGCCAGAAATTTGCTGAGAGCACTAAGGTGTCAAGGCTTCCACACTTTGACTCAGCAGTCTGCATCCGATGTCTACGATGCCATCATATCCTAGGCACGGCCTGCAGCTCCGGACTACTGGGCAGCAATTGGCGTAAAAATCACACACCTGTTCGTCGCTGAGTTCTCTGTTAACCTGCCCTCGTCACGACTAAATGGCCAATGTGACTTAATACTGCGGTCAACAGAGCACTGAAGTTCAGGCAATGCAGTCGAGATATGGAAGACCCACTAACTGTGCCGCTGGGCTGTTGGGCACTGGCACGTTAAGTCTGGGGATCGGCGTACGCCTACGACTTCTCGATAAACAAAAGTAGTTTAAGCCACGGCGTGACAGACTTACTCAGGCCGCAGGGTATGCGGCCTTCGAAGCTCAACGGTCTGCACATTGGCAGTGCTCATGATCTGTTGCCCGCGGATCCTGTCATGTTGAGCCACGAGAAACTAGTGAGTTATGATATTTTGTGGTCTAATGCTCGTGTTTCTACTGGCTAGACCACTTTCGTTATCGGTCCGGGAAGTCATGTACCAGATGCGCATCTAAGGGGGACTAGGCTCTGAAGACTGCAGCATGGATGACCTACAGTCTATTTTCGAGCCTCGTCCTCCGCCTCTAGCGCATCGGTAAGTGCCTCGTTTACCAATTACTGTCGGATGTTGAGTCATGTGCGAAGGTCATACGCAATGCTGATGGCGTCTCCGAGCCGAACGACTCTGTTGCTTTGTCACGTTTTCTCCGAGGAAGTGTATCGGAAATGACAAGTCACATCCGAACGCAGTCGCAACTACGCTCAGGTGCCTTCCTTGCCCAGGTAGAGGTAAGGGGACACTACCTGCTACATGCTCACCGCCGGATCTTTGCGGTGTGATTCTGACCTCTGGCAAAGTCATGGTAGCCGGAAGGCTGCGTGGCGGCAGCCTCAGGGCGTAGGACACCACAAAAGCTGGACGCATGAGCCTTAAATGAGGTCATATCCCTCTTCCCATCTCCCATACCTTCCACATTCGGCACGCGTCTTAGCACGTCGCTATTTTTCCAACTACATTATTAATCGAAACAATTCTTCGGACGCCCACGAAAACCTACTCTACCTCATCATGACTCTCACAGTCCGACGATCAGCTTCCGAGGCATCGAATCAGCCACAGCAGCAAGGGAACGCCAAGGAGAATGCCACAACAACTGGCTCAGGTCATGCGGCTCCGAGCTACCTCGATAGATTATTGGCTGAGTTCGGAAAAGCTGTGTCACGTGACGGGGTGCATGCGACTCGAGACAATACGGCAGGTCCAGGTGTCACTCAGTGTAATCTTGGTGGCCCTCTGGTTGAAGGCAACAAGAAGTACGGTGCTGGTGATCAGGTGAACTATGCGACTGAGTCCGTCACACTTTCCGATGGGAGGACCATGAGCCTGATCCAAAACAATCACCACTACGGAGGGAGCGATAACAGTTGGCAAATCAATGGTTCTGTGCCGAAGGGGTGGACATCTATGGAGCGACCTGCAAGCTCGTAGAAGAGAGTAGTCTTCATCATCTACACAGAATCTTCTCAGCAAAATGTTGGCTGCCTACGATGGGTCTGCTCTCCCCTTCCAATGCTCTTACCTGCAGCAATGTCCCGCGGGTGAGCCATAGTCGTTCTCAATTTAAGTCGATCCCCTTTTGTGGGAAGGGTTTAGTACTACATCCACTCAACACATCGCGCGTCAAGCATCTGCTCAGCTGAATGAACAAATCTTTTACTGTAGAGCGACTGTGAGGATGCATTCCGAGGGAGGATCAGCATATCACGTGTCTATCCAGGAGTCTCGAGAGATGAATGGGCATTTTGATTATTGGAAGTTTCAGAAAGATGCTCAATGCTCCCTGAGTGCTACCTGCAGCCCTGTGTGCGACATTGCGCTACGAAGCAGGCAATATCGACAGCTTTGACAGCATCAGTCAGCCGAATGCCTCTTCTTCTCGTCGTTTTCCGGACATGTCTACCGCACAAATCCTTTGGCCTTGCCCTGAGTCCTATTGTCGTAGTGATTGAAGGGGTCCCATCTGAAGCAGACCGACCGGAGACATGTGTGGCATTGAATGTTTCAAAAGCCTCCGTAGCGTCGGTGTATTACTCACATTTATAGGTGCCCAAACGAAGACCACTGCCCCATGCCGAAATCTGCGCCAAATCTACTGCGTATCGAATGTACAGACGCATCCGCCGGTGGCCACCAGATATGAAACGTCCAGCTGGTAGACCTCCAGGAATCGTTGACGTTGAAGAGGGGCTGGGCCCATTGCAGAGCCGCATACGCAAGCCTCACTCGACCCAATCAAACGTTCCCCCGCCTGGACGACACGCCTGCAGAACGAGTCGCCAGTCGCGATGCTCACTCATCCATAGTGGGACCTGCATGACGCGTGGCTCCGGGGTAAGACATTGGAGCGCCGTGCGCGATCATGTGTCGGCGCACATACGTGTCGGCCGACGCGTAAAGGCTAACCATATCTCGCCCGAGTCTGTATGCGATGCAGGAAGTTGCTACTGACACCACCAAGCAGGCTTGGGCTGCTGTGGCATGCGCGTGCTGAGCCACGATACACAGGGGTCCATGCAAAGAGGCAAGTCGCAGAACACCAACGACCGTGAATGAACTCGTCATGGATAAGCAATTGCACCGGAGGTTGTCGATGTTAATCAGCCTGACACTGGCCCATTATAGCGTCCGCAAGCTGTTCGCGTCGTTTGTCGCCAGTATAGTTCTCGAAGCCGAGGACATGGAGGTATAGTTATTGAGCTTGTCGTTGGCCACACTGTCGTCAAACCTCGTTAGCGGACGGAAATATAACGTGGGATGATTGGGCCTCACGGTCGACTGTTCAATGTTTCTGCTCTGCGTGGCAGGCCTTGATGGCAGACAAAACAACATCCGAATGGGACGTATCATATTGCGGTAAAGTCTTATCACCCTTGGAGTATAGTTGAGCCTCTGTTTCGATTTCTTTATAGGGAGCCTGGCAGGTTCGCAAGAGGACGTGTCATGGTTTCCTCCAGCAAGTTTGGCTTGCTGAAATGCGGTCGAAACATTGCTGGAGCTTTCGTTCTTCGCTGCATCATAGGTCTCCATCTCGGCCATGTTTTTGTTGAAAGTCGTTTCACAGTCGCCGCCGACGGTGCTGCCGTCGCTGCCGACGGTACTGTCATCGCTGCCGATGGTCATGCTGACATCGTCGCCGACGGTACTGTCATCGCTGCCGATGGACATGCTATCGTATCTGATGGATGTTACATCATCACTCCCCGCGTTGTCGTTCTTGACGGCTACAAAGAAGCAGCTCAAGGCGTCGAGGTACTTCGAGCAGTCGTCCCCGAACACGGGGCAAATTTCGTGTATCCAGGTTATCAGGCCGTGCACCTCGTGTACGAATGATCGCATGTGTTGCAAGACGCTGGCATATATCGATTAAGCAGCTTGAGAAAGCGGATGCCGTGGTCACGCATCCTTGTATGTATATCAGGCCAGTCTTCCAAGTTCTTCAGAGCCTCGGGCGCTGAAGGATGCTGGCTTATAAGCATAAAATCGAAATGCTCACGCAGGAGAGTTATAAAAATCCGAGTAAAAGCCTGCCATTCCTCATCAGTAGGGCTTTCCTTGACACACTTATAGATTTCATTGCACTCGGATTCGACCCCTGGGAGGAGGGTATGGATTTTCCTGGCTTCTGCGTCAAGGTCGTCTTGCTTGGTGAGGGGCGTCTCTGGCTGCAGAAGAGCTCCAGTTTCCGGGTGTTTCGAAAATTTAACGGAGACGTCGGAGGAGTCATGGAGTCGAGGAACTGGGCTTCTGCTACCAGCAAAGGTTGGCTCGGGAGGCATTCGTCTGGCGTGAGACTGGCTCTTCAAAGGTACTAGTGCTCCTTGCACGAGTTGTCTGGTGAGAAAGGTCGCGGCACATACTGGGGATATCAGATGTACATACGAATGACAGGCTGTGTTGATCGATGCTCCAGGATTGAAGCTGGGATCCGCCATCTTTGGCTGTTGCGGTCCCGGAGAGTTGCCGTGTGGGGGGGGTTAATGATCTCTGAAACCGTTCTTCTTCCCCATGGTAAGTGTGTTCGAGAGAAGCACTTTGCGAAGCGTGCGGTAGATGGTTTTTCAACAGTAGAGGTAAGAGTTCGACGAGTGGTGTATGGGAAGGATCAGAGAAAGTAGCTGTGGGCGACCCCCAAAGACGAAGAGGGAGCAGACAGGTCCTCGCGTCCTCGAGGCCCCGCAATAAAATAGCCCACATAGCCTCCCTCTGAGGTCTTTGGGGGCTCGACGCCACCAGGCGGACTACGCCCTTCTGGTTGCCTCAGAGTAGCTGCAGGACGAGTCAAAGGCAGTCTCCCCATGCTCGCCCGGTTAGGCTTCCATCAGCTCGATTGATGGGGACCCTTGGCCCCGCCCGTTCCTCTCCCAAAGCACCCAGTCCTTACCTTACCATTCTGTCCTCCACCGTAACACCAGTCCACGCCCCCTTCCCGGAGCCCCCCGTGGGACGTGTTCAGGCTTCAGGTCGGACGGAGTCTGTCCCCCCTTCCCAATGCGAAACGGAAGGGTAGCCCAGAGACCTGCGTCCGCGGACTTCCCTGTCCTGTCGTTACAGGAAGGCTACGCTAGAACATGGCTGATCATCAAGAGCAGGCTGGTCAAAATGAGGATTGATCAATTTGGAGAGACAGTAAGCGTGAATATGATTGCTAAATGAAATCTGTAAGTATCGCATGTGGTGAGATGAAGCTATCTGTCGTATTGGATGGGTCGTCCTTGTCCGGTTGTCATGTCTGGTGAACCGCTGGGGCTGAACCCGCACGCATGTCAGCCTATGTATTGCGTAAAAGTCGTTCCACCATTCGTTTATTGGGCAGTATTGATTTCGTCTGATCTAAAGTCCGCTGGAATGGAGAAGAGCAGACGAAAGCTGCAGAAGTACATGCAATGATTGCGTCGTGCGCCATCGTACGTGTGGTGGGTAGCTAGAGGGGATGCACCAGGAAGCAGGCATGGACCTGCTGGCATTTACCTACTACTAGTAGGTAAGGCAGCCACTATCAGCTGCACGCTGGAGGAAGATCTCTCCAAGGTAACAGGATCAAGGTCGAGCTACAAGAGGGGTGCATACTGTGCATTACCCACCTCCTAGTGCGGGTTCATTCTTGTCTCACCCCTTGTTCTCCAGCTGCTCTCTTCGTGTTCAGTGCCATGAACGCCGGAGCCACGCAATGCACCATTGCCTCAATGGAGTGTACCATTTTCGTCATAGGACTTCTGTCCCCACTAGTGGACTTGACTAGCAGGTTTGAAGGACGAGAGTTGGCGGGCTGATGTCGCTGGCGTGAACAGCCTGCCTGTGTCTGGCCTGTGCCCGGTCTGTTGGCCTTGCGATCGCTGTCATCACCTCTCAGAGGCATTAACATCAGCGAACCCTCGCTAATGCTGCTTGACAAACTGTATTCGAGCCTGTGCTGGACAATCTAATTCAGGCAGGGGCCGGAACAACCTGCATGCCGCTCAAGTGTTCACAATTCTCCGTTCAGGTGGCTCGCAAAGGAACCGTGGCATCCATTGAGGACCGACTGGCAACTGGCCTCCGCGTGAGAGGCAAGATGGACATTCTGTCAGGATACCTCGAGAATAGCAGATGTCAAAACTGTGTTTCCCAGGCTGAACAGACTCCAATCCAGTCATAGATAAACTAATATAAAGCGTTCTTCGGTCTCCGTATCGTCTCAGCCAATATTAGCATGCCATGGCGTCGATTCCATGCACCTCGTAGCCCGACGGCTAGAGGTTCCCGGGCACCCTCCATTGACATTCACTCCATCTTGTCCTGGTACCATATGCTCTCTTCCCATATTGAATCAAGGTTTTCATGTCGTGGTCCTGGTTGCAGCATCTCTGGCCGCTCGAATCGTGAGCGAGCAACAAGGTATTGGGGGCTTCGGAGGGCATCGGCAGCGCGCGCATGAAATTCGTCCTGGAGAATGTTTCTTAGCTCAGGCAATATCATTGATCATGTTCTCTGCTCACCTACCTGGTCACACAATGGAGTGTGACAAGAGCAACAGCCGCACGGGGTCCTCATTGCCAGGCTTTGCTCATCGCCTCGTCATTCCTCCCCTCAATGTCTCTTGTCTCCGACAGCCACTGTCCCATACCCTGCGTATTGCGCCTTGTAATGCGCAGGTACCGACATATAGTAGGCAAAGAATACTTCGCAAGTATCTTGCCATACATGGCAGTCAATGGGTGCGACTGTGCTGCTTGCGCCTTTTCCACCCCTGTGGCCACTGTATGCAAGAATCCCCTCTTGCAAATCGCTCCTCGGATCTTGTCTGCGCGGTGTATATTTTGCATCATCTTGTTGCACGCCACTGGGTAGCTGTAGAGCTCACTGGCGATGGTGATAGCAAGCTTTGGGTCCATGATTGGATAGACGAGCCAGAGCAAGAGGACTCGGAGCCCTTCCCATAAGCCCTGCAGTAGTGCCATGTGTGATCGGGCGGTCGTGAAAGCGTCCTGTTTTGAATCCGCATCGGGGTCTCCTGTTTCTCTACTTGACGTCAGTCAGCTGAATACGGATCGGGACACGAACCTACGTGGCGTCGTCCCTCGCGGCCTTCGCACGCTGCGTCTGCTTTGCTGACGAGGCAAATGTGAAATAGGATCCATAGGCAAGGACCATTGCGGCGAAACTACTCGTTGCCATGGCGTTAAAGAGGCCTAGTTGTGTTCGGAGGCTCATAGCGCCCATGATGATGGTGGACGGCGCTTTCAGCAAGCATACCTCAAGAAAGGCATTTGGCGCATCGGACTTCCGGATCCCTCGCTGATCTGTGTTGATGGTGGCTTCCAAGTCGAAGGTGTCGCTCTCCGGGGCTCCATCTTTCTTCAGGGCTTCGAACACTATATAGTCCAAGTGGGGGCCGATGAGAAGCCGCCATACTACGTTCAGGATGGGGCGTGTAGCGACGGTGCTCAGCCAGGTCTGGAAGCCGTCGTTTGGTGCACGTAGATGAACGACGAGAGGGATGGATTGGCCAACAACACAGAGGAGAACGACCCAACAGAGATAAAATAAAGATTTTGTCTGACTGGACGTCAGGTAGTGGCCGCGTCCATCACCACTCCTAAGCAAAGGTGTCGCTTGATTCGCTAGAGGATTCATGGGAGCCATGAGGCAACTACTTGGTCCGCGGACCATAAGGTCGCTGGGGGTGTCCTCCTTATCAAGCTCACTGACAGGATTCATGGCACCTACAGCGCATATCACCTGGCCTGCCATCGGTACATTGGCTCCACAGACTTGCATTCATTTAACGAGGATCAATACTCTGTCATGATTTTGTAACATCTTCTCACGAACGCTTTACAAGGCAAATTCGACGCGGTAGCTCTCCCGCCAATCCCTCACGAGAACAGTGGCCTATCATCCAGCCATCTAGAAGCCATCCATGGCCTCCTGAAGGTCTTTCTCTTTGTCTTGTACAAGTTCTTCGTCTACGGCTTGCAGAAAGTCATCGATATCCTCCACACGCTCGTTGGCAAAAAAACAAAAAGCTTCCTCGCTATCGAGGGTCGCTCAGGAGCAACACTGGCGATGGTTTTCCACATTTTCCGCTGCAATTGTCAACTCATGGTATGGAACAGACATCGCGATGATACCTTGCCAACTTACGAATGATATTTCCATCCGCCGAAAGTTTTCTTGCGATTTCCCATCGGCTTGATAAAGGTATTGGCAGCGATTTTCAAGGTCGGCCCAGGCCAGGAAGTGATATGCTTCGAAGAAGTCTGACGTCTTTGGCAGTTCGTACAGTGCTCTGACCGTCTCGATCGATTCGTGCGAGAGCTTTGGAATACAACGCCGGGCTAGATCACCAGCACATGCGGCTGGGATCCCGGCTACTCAATGAGTGCGATGAATTGTGTCAGTACCTTGAGCTGCGCATCATCCATTGGCACCGTGGATTGCGGTACGTCTCGATAAGTGGTGTAAAGTCGGTTGCGTGGGCGCCTCTCTCGAGCAGGGGTCCATCGTATTCGATTGGAGCTACGCACATGGCGTGTAGTGCCTCGCTTGACGAGCTGTGAACGAGGTTTTTGAGCAAGTGCCATGTTGGAGATGGTTGGTCTTCGAATGCGATCTCTTGCAGGAAGGCAACCATGCACGTCGTGCATGCGTCCCGCAGTTATATAGTAGCCCGGGCCTCCAGAAGGGGTTGCGTAGCCTGAGGCATGAATGCTAATCGCTTCGCCGAAGAAGGGAAGGCCTAGGCCGGTATGATCGGAAGGAGTAGCTTCAATTGGCACACAATCGTACATGGATGATACGGTCGCACATCGCGATGAGAAAGAAGCTCAAGTATGGCACGGAATGGCCTTTCATTGACAAACTAGCCTTCCGGTGGCGTTTTCGGCCGCCATAAATTTGGGTATTTTCTTCCCACCAAAGTTTATCAGGTCGTCCCATGGTGTTGGCTGTCGAGGCCGGCAGTCAGAGCAATTATGCTTCCTTTGCATTGTTCCTCCGTGATCAATTTCTTTGGACACATGCCGTTTGTTCTTTTGTACGGTTCGCACCACCGCAGCAAAATACGTCGCATATGACCACAATTGTATTCTATAAACCTCACGTCGCACATGGTCTGGAGAGTTGCAGTGGTGGGTAGATTGCCATTTCCTGCGCAGAGAATACCTACTATTCTGAGGAGGCGGATCAGAAATGGACAGAGGCAGCATTCGTACAAGAGGTGAAAGAAGGGAAGATGAGTATGCAGTGATGCTGGCACGGCTGGACTCCACACCATGCATGCTGATGCTCACGGCCTCTCGCTTGCGTCAGATAATGCAGGGGTGGCCAGCTTGATGATGGGCGTCTCATTTAACCTTGGCATCGCAGAACCAACAGCACGATGCCAAGAATCATCGCATTCCGGATGAATTGATGATGTATAGGAAGTGAGATTCAGCTGTCAGGGGATGGGCAGGCCGAGATCGAGCCTCCAGGGGCTGGCCATAACCGCCTCGCGGTGATCCATCATGTCTTGCCTACGCTTGGTCAGTCGCTTCGCTCGAAAAAAAGGAATGTTTCCCCAGGCCCGCTGAATCTCCGCCAGTATAGCCTTCAAAATGTGATGCAGGGGCTTGTGGATTTATTGAGCCCCCAATAGGATCTCTGCACACAAAGCTCTGTCCCGGTCACGCACACCTCAATGTGGGAGTTCAAGTTAGCCGAGGCCTTCCAGCTTGTTGATAATTGCAGTTTGGCAGACGGATAGATGTGAGTAATACGCATTGAATGCCTAAGGGGTATCATCCTCCATTCTTTCTGGGAGTGCTGTCCTTCCTGAACACCCTGATGTGGAAGGGTGCTCCGAGACTCACTTCCCAACGATGGTAGTGGGGCTCCAAGCACATGTATCTGGAGCCCCACTCCACATCTGTGGTGTATGTCTTACATTGGTTGCCAGAGAGACGCCTGGGGCTGGACGTCAAGCAAGTGAAGAAGACATGTCAAGGTTGGTCAAGCGCCGGGCAACGACTTTATGACATCTCACAAATGCTCGATGGATATGGGGCCTTACTATTGCCTCATAATGTTGCTCGCACAACGTATGTCGTATCATTCTATAGTTTGAAACTTACTGATTATAAGCTAGGTTGGAGAGTCACGTGGCGAATGATGAAAATTCGGATACCGCTGTCGAGTCGCTCAGGGGATATGGTGTGTTTAAGAGCGAGACGACGAAGCATTGTCGAAAAAAAGCCAGTACCCTCTTCACCGCCCAAAAATCTCGAAGGAAGGACCTCATCATGGCCTTGCGCCACAATGTGCCGCTCACACCAACCACGGGCCAAATCTCGATAGATCAGGTCGACATCGCCAGCATCACAAGTTCTCAGGCTTCAGACAGTATCGCTCCTTCCGGCTGGTATGAAGATATTGACAGCGGTTGCGGTATGGGAAACTTCGCCACAAACGCGAACTTTGAGGATGAGATGTCTAATCTTGACGAGATAATGATTCTTGCCGGCAATTCATGACCCAGCAATCTCAGGACCATTCTTCTTCGGTGTCGTCCGAAGTATCGTGGATAGCACACAGATGTCGCGATGCTCGATATTAGCCTGTTTTGAAGCCTTGACACGCATTCCCTCGCCCGCCTCAAGCACGATGATATCTCCCACGTGACATGTAAAAGAAGACTCCATGCGTTGTGCTTCATGGACAGGCCTATCAATTATCCCTACACATGGCGGTTCTGGCCCAGAGAGAGAGGCCGTGTTTTCGTCAATAGTCCCAGGACTTCCAGGCTTTGGCCGCCGTAAAATCGTGAAAATTGCGAGCCGGTCTTTCTGATTCGTTACCCCACCAGCAACGAGCCACATGATTGACGACTTGAAGAGTTTGTTAGGATGAATATCAATTCCGCTGTCGTCAGCTAGTCCGCGTAAGATGAGTGCCTGCCTCTCGGTGAGTGTTGAACTGCCCGTCGGGCGAAGATGTACAGACTATGTGCTCGTTGTCAAACAGATCAGCCAAGCTTTGACATTCCTGCGGTATTGCAGAACGCGACAACAATCTCAAATTCGACCTACCCCCAGCGAGATTGAAATCTACGCGGTAGCAGACAACCTGTTCGGCAAGCATCTGGATGCTCCTCAGGCTATTGCAAATATCTGCGTAGACGAGATGTTCAGCCAGCTGCGGAATTCGACTTAGACTGCTGCGGAGGTCCGCCTCTTGACATTTTAATATAAGCATATGAAAGCCCTTAGCTGCTTGATCGACGTTGCCGCAGCGCAAGAGTGAGATAAGTGCAATATCAAGATGAAGTCGTATGAGGTCGGAATTGATCTTTTCAAGGTCCGTGCGTGGTGACCAAAAGGCGGGGTCAACAAGGATGGAGCTCATTCATTTTCATTTGTCAGGAGGCAAGACCTTGACAGCCTCGCGCCTGACTAAGCGATAACTCACCCAACATCAATGCGCCACTGGGCGGCTGCCCAACAGCCTTTAGAGTCTTTGGACATTTCATTCCGCGAAAGGTTCTTACTGACGAGCTTGATCACATAGGTCATGGCGTTGCTTGAAGGCGTTCTGTGAATGAGTGAATCTATGGCGTTTCTCGGCACACAGATGCCTGACTACCTGCTTTCCTGCATTGAACTTGCTCCTCACTTCGTTTCATCCTCCCTCTCACCCTCCTTCATAATGTCATCCAGGTTACTGTCAGCATCACCCTCCTTCATCGTATCAGTATGGTAACAGCATCAAAATATGCGGGTGCTTACCGAAGGAGGTGGCGATGGGGGCGGATTGGGAGGGGGAGGAGACTTCTGCTTTTCCTGCTCTGTAGTCATGACCTTGCTTAACTCTTGGGTGTCGAATATTTCAGGTTTTGCTGCGCATACGCAAATGTTGCGGAGAGTGATGAAGAGGAATAACCAGTGAATGTTTAGGAGGTTGTACAAGAAATGAATCTCGAGCAGGGAGATTGCTCTTATATGTAAATTGGAGTGTTGCCTTCACTGGCTTGACGATATCCATCGAAC